CAGGACCAAATCTGGGTCCAGGATTGGCTGGTCTCTCAAGTCAGGTCTGCTGGCATATTTCCTTGCAACCATGTGAGGGCCCACCTTGTTCCACAAGAAAGAGAGTGGCCAGATTCAGGGCCTGACAAGGCTCAGTAGTAAATGGAGGTTCTCACATCAGTCCCTGGTATTGAGTAATCCAGGATGTTGACAGCCATTTATGGGGGTCCCCTCACAGGAGAGTGTTGACCTCATGCGGGACTTCTACGAACAAATCTTGGCCCAGAGTCAGCTTGGTTGCCTCCTGGACCAGTAAGGCAACTGCAGCAACTGCCCGTAAGCATCCCAGCCACCCAGTGGCAACACTGTCCAGCTGATTAGAGATAAGTCACTGGTCTGTCCATGTCCCTGTAATCTGGGACAACACTCCCGTAGCCACCTTTGTCCTTTTCGGTCACATAAAGAGTAAACGGCTTAGCAAGGTCTGGCAGGCCCAAGGTGGGTTCTGATGTAATTGTACCGGGTTTGAGTCCTATTACCAGTGGGACTTGTTTTGCAAGCCTAGGGGGGTTGTCTTCCGCCCAGACCTCAGGGAATTGTTAACTCTCTCTCTTGACTGTTTAGCCCATCTGGTTTCCTTGCCGGGAGATTGTGCAACCTCCATTCATCTTGAGGGGTTACTGAGAGGAAGAGTAAGTAGGTGGTTGAGCCCACTCGAACAGTGGGTCTTTCGTGGGGGGAAAGGTCACTTGTGCCCCCAATTTAGACAGCAAGTCTCTTCCTAATAAAGGTACTGGGCATTCAGGGATGTATAAAAATTCATGAATCACTTGGTGTCCCCCCATCTGACATTTTCATGGTAGGCTAGAGACACAAAGGCTGCATTTATCACCATCTGAGACCCAGCAGCCTCTGGCCGGGTCTATTGGCGTATAAAGTCTATAGGCCTCGCACAGTCTCTCGCAGAACTCAAGAGGGTGATTCGCTTTCCCTTTGAATCACTTCGGAGGGTTTTGCGATACTCATAGCTTTTCGGGCCCCCTCTTGAGACCTAGTGAAATAGTCACCGATATCTGTCCAGGCGGCCCTCCCTTCCTCTGTGTCACAGCCCCAATCGGGCCCCTCATCGGGGGCGGCTGGTTCTGCCCACGCTGCGGGTTTGCAGTACCCTCAGGTGCCTTTTCTCTGAACCATTTTCTGGCCTCAGTTAGGATCCTGTGTCCTTCCTCAGTGCTGAAAAGGGAGACTAGTAGTTGGATTATGTCATCCCATGTAGGGCGGTGGGTTCGAAAAATAGTCTTCATTAGCCTAATCATGGCCTTTGGCTCCCCCGAGTACGGTGGAGCGTGTCTCTGCCAGTTTAATGTATCCGTAGAGGAAAATGGCTGGTAATAACAGGCTACAGGAGCTGATGGTGGTGCCTCATGCGTCCTGACCTGGAGGCTGCTGTAGCTCTCTGAGGGCCATCTGTAGTGGGGTTCTTTCCCCGTTGCTTGGTAGAGTGCAGCCTCTGTCTAATTGCTGTGTTTTCTCCCCCCTTCCCATCAGTACTCACCAGGAGAAGTGGATACAATCTAGGAGGTCCAGCTGAGGTGGAATTCTGGGGGCGTTGACCAGAGGTCTCCATTGCTGGGATGGGAGCCTGCCAAGATGGCGGCTCTATGAACTCCGTGAGAGCGGGTGGAAGAGCAGCGGCTGCCGCCGGAACTTCACCCGGCCCTGGGGGGGCATTAAGGCGGCCCCGGTCCTGGGGGAGCCCTGGGAGGCAGGCGCGTCATTATCCAGTATGGGCGAGGGGTCAGGTCATCTCCAAATCCTGTAGAATTTCCTTTATTCATCATCATTTTTGTGCCATTAATATTTTCCCCTTTCCCTTCTGGATACAGAACCTTGTCCAAGTAGGAGGGTCTTGGGCTATCCCTGACCATGAGTCAATATGTGGATATTGATCCAGGTGTCCTGGCTCTCCTGTGACCCCTGTATAGACGCTTCCACTATTTTTAAGTTCACGGTGTTCTCTGGTGGCCATTCTACTCCCATAGGGGGTCATTCGACCTCACAGAGTATGTGGAGGTGGTTAGGCTTCATCTTCACCCCATAGTCTCCTCCAAATCCCTGCTTTAAATTTTTAATCATGCACTCCAATACAGTTGCCTTAGATTCACCTCCCCCCATCTTGCTTACCTTCTCGGACCTTCTTCTACTTTCCCTTTTTGTTCTGTCTGCGAAGTTCTCAGTACCCTATGTACTTCTGATATTTCCACTCAATGACACTTAGGTTGCCATTCTGCCTCCTTCCTAATTGGGATGAGAAGAGCCTTACCTGCCAGATCCCAGAGGGAGAAGGGGGATCATCCTGTCTTTACCTGCCGGTCAGCACAGTTGAACCAGAACACCACATGATCCAAGACTGTTTCTCCCTTAACTTTTAAAGTCCATTTTGCTTTGGTGTGCTTGATCAGATGCGGATGAAAATACAGATGGTTTAAATATCCCACGTCCCAGGCCATCTCTGGAAAAGCCAATTCGTACTCACTTATGTATCCCCCTCCTTCTAGCCTGACAGTTCCGAGGGGGTCAAGAATTTCATAGCAGATGGGACACCTCCTTGAGGAGGGCAGAGTATGAGCACACAAAGACCAAGTTTCTGCTCCTAAAAATCCCCTGGCAATGCTTGGTAATAATTTTCCCCAAGACGGCGTGGACCTCACCTCCTAAATGACCTTCACAAATTTCCTTCCTAAGCCCTAACTTGCTCGCCAACCTGTGTACCTAGCAATCATTGCCACCTGCCTATTCTAGGCTCCTGTGGGCCTGTGCCCTTTCTAATCCCTCCCAGGGTGGTGATCAGGCCCCCTCTTCCACCGTACTGGGTGGGTTCCTCCTCACCTGAGCGCTCAGTTCCCCTGCTGCCGTCCACTACCTGCTAACATGAAAGGTCCAGGTGTTGAGAAGCAGAGTCCTTCCAGAAGGGCGAGGCGCCTTCCCCCCTCTAGAAGATTTGAGCCGCAAGGCCTCAGAGTAGTCCCAAATGGGACTTGTCTCCTCAAAGTGAGGAGTTTCCCGGCCAATGCACCAAATGTAGCCACGCGTTCCGGGAAACAGACTCACTCAGAAGGACAATGCAGATAGCCACCGGCGGGCCCAAGGCAGAGTCTCGTCTTAGCCAAGGACCCTGACCAAGTTTTCTGAAAACCTTATATCCCCTAAGTGTACGTGCCCAAACCCACCTCCCCAAATTCCCTGAAACTAGTCTGAACAAAGGAAAAGAAAGATACAATCAAAGTTAACCCGTGATTCATATGCGTTAAGCCTAGGAAGTTAACAGTGGACAATTATCAATAGGCCTGTGGTCATACCCCAATAAGCATAATAGAATTTATGATTTTATTCGGTTACACAGATAATTAGGGTATTCTTTTAGGCAACAGAGAGTCTAGGTACGAGCCCTGGGCTTCTTCCATCCAGGGGGCCTGGTTTTCCAGTTGGTCTGTCGTTTCCACAGACACTGGGCTTATAGCTCAAAGTCCACAGTCCGGCCCAACATGGAGTCCTGCTTTCAAGATGGAGCCTGTTCTGTCTGTTTCCCCCTTCAGCAGAACAGAAGAAACATTCCTTTCAGGGTATTTGGAACATCCACCTAGATGGGCCATGTGCTGGGTCACAAAACAATCCTCAATAAATTCAAAAGTTTAAAAACCATACAGTATGTCCTCTGACTACAATAAAATTGACTTTGGTTATTGTAATGCAAAGATATCTAGAAAAATTCTAATATTTGGAAGATAAACCATGTTTTTCAAAATAATCCATGAGTGCAGAAGACCTCACAGGAAAAATTAGGAAATATTTTTCATTGAATGAAGAATTAAAACAGCACACCAAAATTTGTTGAATGCAGGTAAAGTGGTGTTTAGAAGGAAGTTTATAGCATTTAATGCTTTTATTAGAAAAAAAGAAAGCAAAAACTAAAAGCTGGTTATTTTTATCAATAAATTTTATAATCTTCCAGTTAGATAAATTTTTAAGAAAAGAGACAGAGAAGCCACATTTTAAAAAAAAGCAATATTAGGAATACAACAGGAATTATCACTATCTACATCACAGATATTAAAAGGATAAGGGAATATTATGGATAGGCCAATAAATACAACAATGTTGACAAAATAGGCAAATCCTTGCAAGACACAACTCAAGAAGAAATAAAATTCTTGAATATCATTGTACAAAATATAGGAATTTGTCAAGAGAAGCAAATTATTATTTGTAAAGACTTATTTATAGTAGCTTCATTTGTAATAGCCCAGGCAATCAGCAGAGGAATGGATAAATAAATTGCAGTGTAGCCATAGAATGGAACACTCCTCAGCAGTAAAAAGAAGCAAACGTCTTATATACACAAAGCATGCATGAATCTCAAAAGCATTATTCTGAGTAGGAGCAGACAAACAAAAGAAGAATAAATACTTAAAATTTCATTTGTGGCCAACTACAGAAGAAACTACGCTACACAGACAGAAATAGAATCAGTGTTTGGAACCGAAGCTTGGGGAGGATTAGCTGGGGTGATAGGAGTAGCCTATATCTTAATTATGTTGGTGGTACTATGGATGTGTACATTTGTTAGCAGTTAACAAAGTATAGACTTTAAATCGGTGTGATCTATAATATATAAATTATTCCTTCAAAGTTAACATCAGAAAAAAGATCAAAGAAAATTTGTCAGGGATATGGAGAGGGAAAGTTCTCTTTCGAGAAAGAAGAAGGGGAGAATGGATGCTGAGGCCCTCAGTATGGGCCTGCTAAGTTTTTGCTATTTGAAGGACATCCAAAATGAGAAATCCATGAGGTGGTTGACTGGGTCTTGAAATAAAACAAAATATCTGTGTTAGAGATACAGACTTGCAGTCATCAGCATACAGAGAATACCTGAAATTTAGGAATGAATAAGTTTAGCTAAGGAAAAAAAAATGTAGAGATTGAAGAGAAGAGAGCCTGGAACAGAATCCTGGGGGTGACAGTTTTAAGCAAAGGGCGGGGGTCACTAATATACAACGAATAGACATTTAAAGAGGAGCATGCAGAAATTTAGAGTGATGGTATGTTCAAGCCAGGCACGCTGAGGGAAGAGAGTTCCAACAAAAAGAAGCTCTACAATCTGCCTGCAGTGCAAGAGACCCCAGTACGATTCCTCGGTCTGGAAGTTCCCCTGGCGAGGGGATAGGCTACACACTCCAGTATTTTAGCCTGGAGAATCCCCATGGACAGAGGAGCCTGGCTGTACAGTCTATGGGGTCACAAAGAGTCAGATACAACTGAGTGACTAAGTACGTATTGCCAAATGCCTCTGACAAGTGAGTCAAGGTCTGCAAAGTGTCCACCAAGTTTAGCTGTGTAGGTCACTGAAATAGCTGAGGGTGGGAGGAGGGGCCATAAGGTCAATGGTGACTTTGTTTTCACATGTCCATTTGTTTTTGGTACCCGAGAAATGGAGGTGTGTTTAAATGTTAAGAATTAACCAATAGAGAGGTTAGAAAGAGGACTTAATTCCAAAGTAAATTCCTGAGTGAGACAGGAAGGATGGGATCTGGAGCAAAGGTGGAGAGATTAGCCTTAGAGAAGAAGAGGCACACTCTTTCCATTTTAGCAGGATTGGAAGTGGAGGGGACAGGGGAGGGGTGCAGCAGGGTTAATACTTTTGATGGCAGAAATTTGAGGGAATGGATAGATAACTTCCAGGACCCCTTCTAAACCTGAGATGTTGTGGTCCGTGCTTCCTCAAAGCATGGAGCAGGTTGGAGAACTGGCGGAAAGAAGAGCTTCCACTCCTCCTAACTAACGGTCTTTCTGTTGGTCTGATTCTGCAACAGGGATGATCAACATTCTTCATGGGATGGGTTTAAGGCTCCTTGCTTTGGGACATCACACACCTTTTATGGTGAGATGTTTATTGTGTCTAATTTTTTTTTTAAACATATCACATTTTAAACATAGAAACGTGTCTTGGGTGGTCAACTAATGTGAACCGTATGCTTGTTTGCAGCACATTGGCATGGCTCATAACTACAGGAACAGTGGTCAGGCAGTGCAAGCTGTCCGCGATGCTGGCTATGAAATATCTCTGGGTTTGATGCCAAAGTCAATAGGGCCCTTAACATTTGTGTTCACAGGGACTGGTAACGTATCTAAGGTAAATTCCAACTGTCTTCTTTTCATAAAGCAGTCTGGAACTTGGGCATTAACCTGAAGGATGTGGGCATTTTGTTGACCTTTCAGAGTCTTTCTTTTCCATGACTGGGCATTCTATTCTTGGTACTTTTTCCTTACCTATGAACTTTTCCTGTAGTAAAGAACAGTACTGGTCCAAACTTACTCTCTTTGCTTTTAGTTGATTCCAAGCTGTCAGAGGCTTTGAATGCTTTTTCTTTTCTTTTTAGACAGATAACTCCTTGCAGTGAAAAGTTCTGTTCTTAGGGTGCTCTATTTTACCTCCATCACTGAGATGTCCTAAAATTTAGAAGTAACCCCAAGATGAGGTGCTAAGAAGCTTAATTCAAGACTAGAATAAGTCTTATAGCTACAATTATGTAATAATTAATAAGTCTTATAAACTATAACTATAGTTATAAGTCTTATAACTAATAAGGCTAGAACTGTTATTTTCTTCCTTCTGGGTTAGTTTTGAGAATGAATTTGTAATCCCCTAGAGAAACTTATAATTGTAAAATAGATCTTTCTTCCGTGAGACTACTTTACAAAGAGGACATCGCTATAGTATACTGTGAGATAGTCATGTGAGGTTTTTTTTTTTTTTTTTTTTGGTAGGAAATATAGTTTCCCCACTTCAAATAATTTCTGCAATGGAGCAAAAGTTAAATAGAAATATTTTCATTGTACTCTCAATTCTAAACACTTTTGTGTCTGTGCTGAATAACTTTAAGTAAAAAATTAAAGTCCTTTCCAATGTGCATGCGGGCATGCTCAGTCGCTTCAGTTGTGTCCAACTCTTCGGGAGCCGATGGGCCGTAGCCTGTCAGGCTTCTCTGTCCATGGGATTCTCCAGGCAAGAATACTGGAGCGAGTTGCTTCCAGTTGCCTCCTTCTGGTGATCTTCCCGACCCAGGAAGAGAGCCCACATCTCCTGCATCTCCTGTATTGCAGGTGTTTTCTTTGACCCAGTGAGCCACGTGGGAAGCCCCCTCTCCAATGAGTGGTATTTAAAAGGTTTGCAGGCTGTATGCAAGAAGCTCATCCATACTTTCATGTTGTGGTCCCAGTTGCTGAGCAGGGCAGATAGAGCTATGTAATTGTGGGGAAAATGAGTTGGAACCTTTTGAGGAAATGAGGGAAACATATCGGCTCTTTTCCGATTGATTTTTAAATGTTCACTCATGCGTTATTTACAGGGAGCCCAAGAAATCTTCAATGAATTACCTTGTGAGTATGTGGAGCCACATGAATTAAAAGAAGTTTCCCAAAGTGGAGGTAAGGAGTGGGTAGGGGAGAGTGACTGTATGTAACCTTTACTGTTTTTAACAGTTTGTGCATTATATTTGATCATCATAAACCTATATCACTTGTGACACACTTTACTAATTTCTTTCTCCTCTGCAAGACCTGAGAAAAGTGTACGGGACAGTGTTAAGTCGCCACCATCATCTTGTCAGGAAAACAGATGGTGTATATGACCCTGTAGAGTATGACAAATACCCCGAGCGCTACATTAGCCGTTTTAACACTGAGGTGAGTATCAGACCTAGCTTTTGAGTTACTTGCTCATGATACACTATAGTTAGGCTGTTTTTAAGGGGAGAAATTGTGAATGTGTACCTTGGTTTTCAGTTCACCGTGTTGATTTGTTGTGAGTCCTTTGGGCATTATGAGTTGTTCTTAGGAATTGTTGGCTCTTATTGATGTTTGGAGTGGCCTTTGCCTGGTAGCTTTGTGGCTTCTGTGGGTGTGCCCTTTGCTTCACTGACTCTGTTTCTACTTGAGGTCTGCACATGCCTCATAGCTCTAAACCATTTCCTGTGGGTTATTGTTTTCTGTATTTATTGTGAGTTAGTACTTGGACAAAGCACAATGTGGATGAGTTTTGATTTCAACATTGATCCATCATTTCTATGACCACAAGTTTCAGTCGTAATCTCGGCCAGCCATCTTGAAATACGTGCCTTTGATTACAGGGGACCAGTGTGAAATAGTATGGTCTCCACTGTACAAAAGTTACTTCCAATTGACATCCTTCTGATGGGGACACAATGGTCTCATCTTGTAAAAAGGATAATAATATATGTGTGTTCTGTAGTCATTGGTCATGCAATCGTTCTCCTCAAAATCCGCCAACAAAATGCATGCACCTATTGTGGAAAGGCAGGTTTTAAATAATTTTAAATGTTTGAACAAATATAGCATTTTTAGATTTTGGTATGAAATTCAGTGTTATAACATGTGTAGAGCATGTTATAGAAGAAGGACCTTTACCTGTACCTTGAGAATGCTTGAGATGCTTGAGAAACAGGAATTATAAAAACTAGCTTCAAATTGAAAAATTTGAATCTAGTACATTTCCGTCCCTTCTCTTTCCCCCAATCACAGAAGTATTGGTGATTGGATGCATCCTAAAACTTATAATGACCTAGTTATCATATATGCATGCATGTAGCACGTTTGTCCATGGAGCTTACAGATGTTATCTGATTTAATCTTCACAGCATTCCTTTGAGGAATGGGGTACGTATTATCCCCATCTGGCAGGTAAGGAAAACAACCCAGGGAAGTTGAGGTAGCATGCTTTAGATCATACTCTACTAGAGGCTGAGCTGGAAATAGAACCCTTGTTCGCTTAAATTTCTATTTCTCTTTTATCAGCTATGCAGTATATTGTACAGCACCACTGTTGATTATATTTATGTTCATATGTTTTTCTATAATGAGGTAGTTCTCCACCAAAATCTGGGTGGGTATTTATTGCTTTTGCTTCAAAATGTAGCCACTGACTTGGCAAATAACAGAGTCAGTTAGAGGTAATGTTAAATTGTTTCTCGTGAATTTTACTGATAGTTCTCTTTCGACACACTGCACTGAATAGGGCTATTTCCTATCTTGTTGAACTTGGAATTTCCTTTCCAGATTGCACCATACACAACTTGTTTAATTAACGGGATCTACTGGGAACAAAACACCCCTCGTCTACTCACCCGCCAAGATGCTCAGAGCCTCCTGGCTCCAGGCAAGCCCCCAGTTGCTGGTGTTGAAGGCTGCCCTGCATTGCCACACAAGTAAGGACTTCAGCAGTGACAGCAGTGTTCAGCAGCAGGCCCGCTGGGAGAGTGTCACACACAGGGATCCAAATAGCACAGCGCTTGACTTAGTAACTGGTTGTCTGCCTTACCTCACTTAATGTCCTGGCAATATTTGACAGTTAACCTTCTCTCTCTCTCTCTTTGTTCTGGCAATATTTGACAGTTAACCTTCTTTCTCTCTCTTTTTTTTTTTTAAATTGAAGTATAGTGATTTACAGTGTTGTTAGTTTCAAGTGTATAGCAAAGTGATTCAGTTATACATATGTATAAAGCAACATCCCCAATGTTAGAAAAAATGTTCTGGACTTAACTGTGTTAGGTGATCACCGGACTCTGTGATAACATGTTAGATAGAATTGATATAACAAGGTTTCTTTTTCTTTCTTTCTGCTCTAGGCAGCCAGTTTATTTTTTATTGAAGTATAGTTGATTTACAATGCCACATTAGTTTCAGGTGTAAGCGCAGTAATTCAGTTATACACACACACACACACACACACACACACACACACACACACACAGATATATATTCTATTTCAGAATCTTTTTCATTATAGGTTATAATTAGATACTAAATACAGTTCCCTGTGCTATACAGTAGGTCCTTTTTAAAAAAGCTATTCTATATATAGCAGTGTGTATCTGTTAATCACAAACTCCTAATCTATCCCCCCCCTCACTTGCTGTGCCCGTTGGTAACCCTAAATTTGTTATCTATGTCTATGAGTCTATTTCCTTCCCTCCTTCTTGAAATTCTCTTCTCTTAACTTCTATGAATCCACATGTAGCTCAGAATTAAACTCCTCAGAGAGGTCTGTACTTGCTTCCCCATTCCCATCTCTCTTCAGTTTGTTACTGTTTTTTTCCCTGAAATTCTTTTGTTTATGATTTAAAATTTTCTTGTATTTATGATTTTTCCTGCCTTACTAGAACTTAATCTCCTTAACGATAAGGGCCCTATTTGTCTTGACTACAGATATCCAGTATGTTGTTTGACATATAAAGTTCATTCAACTAATTACTAATGTTGAATAAATTAAGTAATCAATACATATTTGTGGGACACCTGGTCTTCCTGGCACTGTGCTAAGCTGAGTAATAAAGAAAAAATATGATTGTTACCTTCATGCATGTAGCTGGCATCAGGTAAATGCCACGGGAATGCTGGGAGCAATCAACATCAGAGGAGTTTAGGAGAAAGTGGGAGAAGGTGTGGGCTTGGCAGTCTTTAGAGAGGAGTAAGAACAAGGATTTCAAGTCACAGAGTTGGTGTTTGATAAATATGGAAACACCAAAGCACAATTTAAGACAGTGAGTGGGATAGTCTAGCCCTAGGATAGGGTTTATATGGGCAGTTGGAAACTGGAGATTGGGCAGGAAAATTGTAGTCAACCTCTAAAGGATTTCTAATCCTGGGCTGAAATTTTTGTTCATAATTTCAGAGATTTCCATGTATTAATATGTAAAGTTATACACTACTAAGCAAGGTGGTGGTAGTGCAATTGAAAAATTTAAGTTGTTAAAAGTTAACTAAGTAGTTTAGCTTTAGGCTGTTGTCAGTGATTTCTCTAGGAAAGCTTTTTAAAAAAATCTTTTTATTGAGTATAGTTGATCTGCCTGCAATGCAGGAGACAGAAGACATGGGTTCTATCCCTGGGTCAAGAAAATCCCCTGGAGGAGGAAATGGCAGCCCACTCCAGTATTCTTGCCTGGGAAAAAAAAATTGCATGGACCAAGAAGCCTGGCGGGCTACAGTCCATGGGGTTGCAGAGTCAGCTATGACTGAGTGACTAACCATAGCTGATTTACAGTGTGGTGTTAGCGTCAGGGGTACAAGAAGTGAACCAGTTATACAATACATATGTGTGCGTAAGTGCTAAGTCACCTCAGTGCTGTCCAACTCTGTGACTCTACGGACTCTAGCCCGCCAGGCTTCTCTGTCCATGGGGTTCTCCAGACAAGAATACTGGAGTGGGCTGCCATGCCCTCCTCGAGGGGATCTTCCTGATCCAGGGATGGGACCCACGTCTCCTGTGGCTCCTGCATTGCAGGCAGGTTCTCTGTTGCTGAGCCACGAGGGAAGCCCACATGTATCTGTATCCACTCATTTTTAAGTTCTTTTCCCTGCAGGCCGTTACAGAGTAATAAGTAGAGTTCCCACGGTACAATCAGTCCTTACTAGTTATCTATTTTATATAGCAGTGTTTATAGGGAAGGGATTTTTCCTTTTTGTTTCATCTCTTCTCGTTTCCTGTCTTCCTCTTCCTCTTTTTCTTTTTGCTTGTGGTGACTAAAACTCCCATCAGGAAGTTTCTCTGTATCCCAGAAGATCTGTTTCCTGAACAATGAGCCATAGGAAAAAGAGCTAAGAGCCTGGGAAATATTTGCCATCTACTTTAAAAAATTTCCAAGCACTTTTCATTTTTATTCATTTTTGATTCTGTTGGAAACTCCAGAGATCCATGCTCTCATCTAAGTATTGATGTTATTTACAGACTTGTGGCAATATGTGACATTTCAGCTGACACAGGAGGATCCATCGAGTTTATGACTGAGTATACGACCATAGAGCGCCCCTTTTGCATGTATGATGCAGATCAGCATATTATTCATGACAGGTGAGTTTGCTAAAGCTGTTAGATGGGGAGAGATACATAGTACTATATCATTTACTTCCTTTGATATGCTACTCTAAAATACCCACACTGAGTTACTGAGCACCACAAAAATGCAAATTTCCAAAGATATGCTCAAGTATATTTAAAAATTTGTTAGAAAAACCACATACAAATTTGAGCGCTTAAATGCACACACACGTATATATGTACTGCATTTCAAAATGGGTAGTTGAAGAAGGGAAAGGTTTTATTTGAAAAGTCTTGTTTATTTTCTTATATACTATGGCACAACATTACAAATATATAATAGAGCAGACATCTGGAAAAGTTAGAACTTAACACGTAAATTTGTCCATCTGAATGATATGTGTTGCTTCTCCTAGTGTGGAAGGCTCTGGGATTCTGATGTGTTCCATTGACAATTTGCCAGCACAGCTTCCAATTGAATCTACAGAATACTTTGGGGACATGCTTTACCCTTATGTTGAAGAAATGGTAAGTGGACTGGTAGCATCAGCAACATCTCTGTGGCTTTAAATAGAACTTTGGAGTGATCTTAGGAACATTCTGGTCTTCTGTATCTAAGAAATCTGTTGTAAAATGAAAGGCCAGCCCTTCCCCAAAGCACTTACTGACACTCTTATTTCACCCATTCTGCTTACTTGTTTCATGGGAAAAGTTCTTATGTAACTGTCTTCATGCTTCGTTACAATTGCATTTGCCTATCATTATGCATACTTTATTAAGAATGTTCCTGACATTGGAGGTGAGGTTTACGTTATTTCCACTTTTCTTCTGCTTCCTAGATCAGTTCATATTGGGGTGTTCTTACTGGACTGTAACTGGATGTGTATGTGTGTATGTGTGTGTGTGCTCAGTCTCTCGGTTGTGTCCGACCCCATGGATTGTGCCCACCAGGGTCTTCTGTCCATGGGATTTTCCCGGCAAGAATACTGGGGTGGGTTGCCATTTTCTGCTCCAGGGGATCTTCCAGACCCAGGGACTGCAGCCACGTCTCCTGCATCTCCTGCATTGGCAGGAGGATTCTTTACCACTGCACCACGGATTTGAAAAATCAGAAGTGGAAAATTTTGTTGGCGTTTAATCATTAATGCTTAGTTAAATGACAGCTTGTGTTCTAGTCATATATTATTCACTGTGATCAGTGATTGTTGAAATACTGGGTTTATCTAATTTTTTAAAAAGAATTTACCTTTACTATTTATTTATTGCACTCTGCTGGGTCTTAGCTGTGGCATGCAGGATCTTTAGCTGCAGGTGTGTGGGATTTAGTTCTCCGAGCAGGGATCGAATCTGTGGCCTCTGTGTTGGGAGCACAGAATCTTAGTCGTTGGACTACCGGGAAGTCCCAGTATTATGTTACCTAAATTCCACTTTCTCTGTCAGAAAAAGGCTTTCTTGTTTCATTATTTATCCTAAATGTTCACACCCATCATGCTTTATTTCTGTTGCTAATGGTTGTCTGCCTCTGGCAAAGTTCCAAAGGTCTGAAGAGTGGCCCTTGTCCTTTTCATCCATAGTTTCACCCAGGAGCTCTCATACTAAGATGGGGCAGTAGATAATGTGGCCTGAATAAGTGCAGCTTCTAGTCTGTCTTCTTTTCTTTCACTTACTATTCTATTTTGATCCTTTATTTTTCCTCCAGGAATGTGTCAGCAGGGAGCTATAACAGACTTTAGAAAATGCAGGTAACAGGCATTGTTATGGTTGGAAACAATATTATACAGCACTTACTGTGTTCTAGACAGTGTTCAGATTACATTTACTTGTTTATTTGGCTGCATCAGGTCTTGGTTGCATCATGGGCATCTTTTGTTGCGGTGCCCCAGCCTTCTAGTTGCGGCACTCAGCTCTTGAGCGCCCAGGCTCAGCAGTTGCAGCAAGCGAGCTGTCTCGCTGCAGCTCAAGGGCCTAGTGGCTGTGTGGCATGTGAGATCTTAGTTCCCCAGCTAAAGATGGAACCCACATCCCCTGTATTGCAAGGTGGACTCAACCACTGGGCCACCAGGGAAGTCCCCAAATTACTTTATATATTTTAATTTTTAAATACTCATGATCACCCTCTCAGGTAGGTACCACTATCAACCTATTTTACTGATTAGAAAACTGAGGCACACAAAGAAATGAAGGCTGAGAAGGGTTGCTGATGCATCTGGTGCTGGACCTGAGGTGTGTCTGGAATTGGCGCTGAGGAGTTAAAGTAGCCTGAGAAAGGACAGTCCCAATGTCAAATTTTACTGGAGACGTCAACCTGCTTTATGGCCTTGAGCCAGTCACTCACTTGCTTTCTGCACCTCGGATATTTTACCTATAAAATGATAATATGTAATCTTTAATATGTAATAAATATGTAATCTTTTAAAAATATATAATCTTAAAAAATTTTTTTAAATTTATTTGCCATTATTATTTTGCTTTTTTGGCTCTTTGTTGCTGCGTGCCAGCTTTCTCTAGTTGTAGTGAGCGGGGCTGCTCTCTAGTTGCAGTGCTCACGTTTCTCACTGTAGCAGCTTCTCGTTGCAGAGCACAGGCTCTAGGGCACGTGGGCTTCTCTAGTTGTGGCGCTTGGGCTTAGTTGCTCTGTGGCATGTGGAATCTTCCCTGACCAGGGATTAAACTCTTGTCTTCCTCATTGGCAGGCGGATTCTTAAGCACTGGACCACTAGGAAAGTCCTGATTGATAATACATAATCTTAATGGTCCCTCCAGTTCTAACATTCTATAACTGTAAATGTCTAAATGGCTAGAAGGCACATATATATTTTAAAAGTAATAATAAATTTACCTAGATGTTTACTATTTGCAGTGATGCTCATTCATTTCCCTCTGGGGTCATTTCCCTAAAGAATCAATAACTTTTGTGAGCCCTTTACCTGAATTTTTTATTTCAGATTTTCTCTTTTTCAGTTCTAAAATTTGTTTGGTTCTTTTTTTTTTTTTCTCCTGAGAATTTCTTTTGATTTATTATGAGTGTAGTTTCCTCATTGGCAGGCGGATTCTTAAGCACTGGACCACTAGGAAAGTCCTGATTGATAATACATAATCTTAATGGTCCCTCCAGTTCTAACATTCTGTAACTGTAAATGTCTAAATGGCTAGAAGGCACATATATATTTTAAAAGTAATAATAAATTTACCTAGATGTTTGCTATTTGCAGTGATGCTCATTCATTTCCCTCTGGGATCATTTCCCTAAAGAATCAGTAACTTTTGTGAGCCCTTTACCTGAATTTTTTATTTCAGATTTTCTCTTTTTCAGTTCTAAAATTTGTTTGGTTCTTTTTTTTTTTTCTCCTGAGAATTTCTTTTGATTTATTATGAGTGTAGTTTCCCTTATCACACGGAGCAGAGTTGTAAAAGCCACTCTACAGTCTACTTGTTATTTCCAAAATTCTGGGTAAACTTCAGCTTGAAATATAGTGATTGTCTTCTCCCCTGAGAATGAGTCCAGTCATAGTTTTCTGATTTTCTTAAGCTGAATAATTTTGAAGTATATCCACTTCATCATGGATACAGTGAAGACTCACGCTGTGGAAATTCCAGATTGTTATATTTCTCTTTAAAGTGTTGATTTTGTTTGGTTTATTTGGCTTTTTTTTTTCCTAAAGCAGGCAATTAATGAGGCTAGACTTAAACTGAAAACTCTGTCTCACCTGAGGCAGGTATCTCAAGTAAAAGTTCAGCTTTTTCATCTTTTCTGGGCTGCTTGGAGTCTGACCTGCACATGCTCAGTCCTTCCAGACTCGGGCCAGAGCTTACTTGGAAGCTGGTCTTCACTTTTACCTGAGTCTGTCATTTTTGGCATTTCCCGCTCACACTCTGGAGCAGGCTGTGGTGCCCAGAGTTTCGTTTCTGTTCCCTTAGATCAGAAAGTCAGTAAGCTTGCTGCCTGTTTCTACTTCTTCACAGCACAAGGCCCCTTCTCAGGGCAATACCAAAGAGACAGCACACTTTCAGCACTGATGAGTTCTTCCGAGTTTTGACACTCTCCCCAAACTGCCTGCTCTTCTTCATTCTCTGAAACTGCCGTAGTTAGTTTTGTTTGTATTTTGTCCAGCGTTTACAGCTGTGATGTATAGAAGGGATAGTTAGCACTTCGTCCCTACCTGAAAAAGAGCCCCTCAGTCATAATGCGTTGATTAGATCAACTTGACTCCAGCAGTCTTGGAGTAGCTAGGAGAGCTGTTGCTGAGCCTTTGGCTTTCTCTCCTTTTTTAAAAACATATAATTTTATTTATTTATTTATTTTTGGCCATGCTGGCTCTTTGTTGCTGTGAGGGCTTTTCTCTAGCTGCAGCGAGCAGGGGCTCCTCTTCACTGCAGTGTGAAGGCTCTTATTTCGGTGGCTTCTCTCATGAAGCGTGCGTTTGAGGGCACGTGGGTTCAATAGTTGCTCTTCCCTGGCTCTAGAGCACCGCCTCAATAATCGTGGTGCGTCGGCTCAGTTGCTCCACGGCATGTGAGATCTTCCCAGACCAGTGATTGAACCTGTGTCTTTTGTATTGGCAGGCGATTTCTCTACCACTGAGCTCCCAGGCAAGCCCTGAGCCTTTGACTTTAATTCATCTTTTTGAATCTTTCAAGTATGCATTTCAGTGAAATGCTTACCTTATAAGGCCAAATTATGGAAAATGTTGCATACTAACTTGCCTTTGTGGAAGGATTTGTTATTTCTTGAAATGTCATTTTGTTTGGCTGCTCTGACACCATTTACCATCTAAGAAGTTGCTGCTAGCCATTTTCAATTCACAAATGATCATGCTTCAAAATTTCAATTACAAGTTTATTTTTATTGGAACTTAGAACACAGTTTTTCNAGTTTATTTTTATTGGACCTTAGAACACAGTTTTTCATTGTCCTTAGTCAAAATTGCTTTTCATTGAGCACAGTTGATCTCATACAGATGTTAGGAGAAAAACAAGCCAATTCAATGAAATTCTTAGTAAAGTGTGTTTGAGAGTTAGCCCATGTAACTGATGAGGGCTACGTAAAATTTGAATGAAGTTTTCTTTTTCTCTTTTGGCTGCACCCACAGCATGTTCGATCCTAGTTTCCTGAACTCAGACCCTTTTCATTGGGAGCATGGAGTCGTAGCCACTGGACCACCGGGGAAGTCCTTAAATAAAAGAAATTTTATTATAGAACAAATACAATTTTTTTTACATTATATGATAGTATACAATATTAAAGTGTCACAGATGAGTGATACTTAAGTACACAGCATGATAGATTATCACAAACACATGCAGGTGAACACTACAAGGTGAAAACTAGAATAAGGTTAACATCCCAGAAATCCCCTGTGCCTCTCCCAGCACTAGCCCCACTCTGCTTCCTAAAGGGACCTACTGTCTTGACTTATAACAGTGGATTAGCTGTGCCTTTTATGGGAAAATTTTATTTTATGAACATATTAATCAGAGTTTAAAAACACTTCTGATACATCCAATGAACTTCTTGGGTCTGTTTAATG